GGGGGGGGGGGGGGAGGAGGACAACTCAACAGGAAGGAGGACAAACTTTGAAATGCCACTTCCTGAAGTTCTTACTTACTTTTTCTCATTGAAACTGAAATTTTGCAATGTGATGTCACAACTATGGGGTGACATTCAAAAAAATGTCTTGAAATAACGTCAAAATAACTCTGCCCCACGGTTTTACGTTAAAATTCGAGTTAGGTGCAGCGATTAGTATTAGACCGGTTTCTCATCAGCGCCCGAATTACTAAATAGTGTACGCATGCATCTTTTTATATTGTTGAAACTAGAGTATACCATTTACTATCACAAGAGGGAACTGCTGCCATATGGCCCAAAGCTGTTATTCCCCCTAATTCCAAATATCAAACCAGTATCAAGAAGATTCAAGATCATAAAGTGGTTTATTTTAACATTTGATTTATTCACATTGCTAAAGGCACACCACAATGACCACATGTTTGCATTTCCAGCGTCAAAATCTTCAGATTCGGCAACATTAATAATAATTATCACTATTCGTAGCAACCTTAACATTTCCGAGTGACTTCAGACTGTTTATTATATAGTAGAGAGTGAGATACTGAAAAATACACAGTGAGATATTTTCCATATCTTCACTAGTGAAGATCACGTCACTCGCTGCGCTCGTTAGTAAAATATTGTTTTCACCACTCGAAGATAAAAGTCATATCTTCGCGCCGCCGTGTAATATCCTCTATATACCATACCAGAGAGCTGCGGATGGAGAGGGATTCAACTACCTGAAAAATGCAAGTAAAGCTGCAGCTTTCTGGTGTTATTGCAATCCTCTCTCATTCTGCAGCTTTTTGGTGTTATTGTCACTACCTACTATGGAACACACAGCAATTTTACGATTGGGAGAACTGGTGCTGAGATGAAGTAAGTTCTCAGCACCCTGATGGATCTGGGGGGCATGCCCCCAAGGAACATTTTTGAACTTACAAGCCCAGAAAGTGTTTCCAGATCCCCGCCTTGCACAGTCCCAGCTACTCTAGAACAGACCGTTTGTGTCTATGAACATTCTCTTTATATGTGATGCTTAATTTGTCCCAAAATGTAAACTTTATGTCGAGATAACAATCATGTTTTACTGCAGAACTGTCAATGGTCTTGAATGATATAATTGGCGAGAACACATGCATGTCATTTAAAGACCTGGGGGTCTAGTATCGGCTTGGCAAAGAATAAACAAATACGGTGTTTGTTGCCGGTGTTATACAGTTTCCACCCAAATAGAATTAAGATGAACTTTTTGACATCATTACAATACATCCATATTATTCTGTTTGTCATATCGCTTTTATTAAGATTGTACTCAGTCAGAATTGTATAACAATATAGTATAACAGGAAAGAATTTGGATGTGAGCATATTGAGAAATATACCCTGAAATGTCTATGCTGAAATGTAGTGATACAGACGAATATATGAACATATCTTGGGGATATAAAACAGACCAATTAACATATTAATATGTCCTGACAATAATCCAGAACAGATCGAGATCTTGACAATACATAGTTCGCGTGAAAGACTGGGTCGAAAGGACTCTTGAGAAGCCCTAGCACGTCAAGAATAGTGTGCTGCCTCGCTGACGCTCGGCAGCAAATAAATATTTTATAACGCCCAAACCAAACTTGGCTAGGGAAGAATTCAAAATATTGGTCCAACGCAAAGGGCAACCTCGTACCCAGGCTATTTTCTCTTATACTCGGTGCACGGCCACCTGCTGAGAAAATACCCTGGTATTGTCTGGTCACGTGTCTCCCAGAATCTGGGAGGTAACAATAAATTTCTATTAGGGTGGGTAACTAAGTAGCGTTTTGTCACAGAGCAAGGAGTGAGCGAAGAAATAACGCAGAAATCATGCAGGAAATATTTACAAGATTGTATATTTTATTTGTCATGAATACTATCCAGTTACACAATTAGAAATATCAAATGTCATTGTGCCCAGAATGTCGGTGAGCAAAGATATATCAGATTTCAATATACAAGGTGTGATATACGGCTCGTCGAAGAAATCACACGTCGTCGCAAACGTTACAAGAAAATATATTTCCAGACCGAACGATGTAACTGTTATTTACCTCTTGAAGTCTATCCTAAAAGATTTATTTAATACTGAGATGTGGAATTGTAACGAAATAGAGAGATCTTTTCAATTTCTGGCTTTACCTCGATCGGTGTAAGAACCGCACAACTTACGTCACACATGAAAACAATGCTACTCGGACTGTTATTCAAAGCGCTGTGATATTTCCAAATTCCAACATTGCCATTGACTTCACTGAAACTTCATTGATGCTCAAGAACTATGTTGAAGTATACCTCTCTATTATCAAACCTACGGTAAAATAATCCGACAATAGCCTACTCAAAGATATTAAAGTCAAAAGCAAACACTCTCCTGTGTGTGTATGTTTATACAAATACTGTATGAATGAATATTCGTAACTTATGTTTGACATTAGAGAATACAGACCACATGTACATAATAAATTTGATGAATATAGCTTTAATCAATTAATTGTGACATTCGCTTTACTGTAATTTGTTGATCGATGATCGATTAAATACGCGAGAAATTTTTATTTTGTGAAATATAATACTGACTTATTATGCATGCTGGTGTGGGACACTGCTTGTTAGTCTGTTTAGAGATCAATATATGTTGTGTTAATATACATATTTAGATTTAGAGTCTAACTATGTTGCACTAGAGATAAACGATTTGTTCTCGAAGAAAACGTGTTAAATAATGTGAAGTAATCAAACTCTAAGACTCTAATTAAGTAAGTGTTATATCTGCATGTGCATATCAGTGTTTATGGGCATATGACTGCATGTGCATATCAGTGTTTATGCCGTGGTTTATGGAAATATATATGACTATCTTCGTGTTATAAAATGTGTACTGTATATCAGAAAAATATTTTTATAAATATTGCTGTAGGCCGAAAAAAAGGCTATTAAAAGCCGTTATTGTCTATACACAGGCGGCCCAATCTCGCAAGGGTCAGTATAGACTTATAGTATAAATGTATATTATATTAATGTATATTATAGTAAAAATATGTCGTAAAATATAAATTTTAAAATAAAATTGACTTGCCTATTTGATAGTGTGTGTTCTCCTTTTATTCCTCCTTTGTTGGACTAATGTTTTCCGAGACTCTGTACTCGATGTTACTAGTATACATGAAACATGATAAAGGCTAACGATTCCCGATCGTCGATACGACGGCACGGCACTTCGAATCGAAAATTCTCACACTCAAATCGCTTTATTCTCAAAAAAAATTCGCCAGCATGTACAACAAATGCCGTTCTTCGAAAATACAGAGGTATTTCGGCGAGATGTACAAGTTTTGGACCATATTTTAACAATGGAAATCAAAACCCGTTTTATATTGAACTTACCTGGACCGAAAATTACTACGGCGAACGTCTGCGCAACCAGGCCTCCTTTACCGTTGGATTTACAGGGGGGAGGATGCCACTAATATATTCACGATAATATTTCGAATTAAAGTATCATATTCTACCATACTTTCCAACAAAGAGCCGCTGTATATTACTTCTTCCTTAAATTTCTTCAATCTCCGTCGTTTAATTTTCATTTCTTCGACAACATCTCGAGTTTTATACTGTATCCGATCGAAGGAGTTTTTATTTTGAATATCAAATCCCCCTGTAAATCCAACGGTAAAGGAGGCCTGGTTGCGCAGACGTTCGCCGTAGTAATTTTCGGTCCGGGTAAGTTCAATATAAAATGGGTTTTGATTTCCATTGTTAAAATATGGCCCAAAACTTGTACATCTCGCCGAAGTACCTCTGTATTTTCGAAGAACGGCATTTGTTGTACATGCTGGCGAATTTTTTTTGAGAATAAAGCGATTTGTGTGTGAAAATTTTCGATTTGAAGTGCCGTGCGGTCGTATCGACGATCGGGAATCGTTAGCCTTTATCATGTTTCATGTATACTAGTAACATCGAGTACAAAGTCTTGGAAAATATTAGTCCAACAAAGGAGGAATAAAAGGAAAACACACACTATCAAATAGGCAAGTCAATTTCATTTCAAAACTTATATTTTACGACATATTTTTACTATAATATACATTAATATAATATACTTTCATACTATATAAAGTCTATACTGACACTTGCGAGATTGGGCCGCCTGTGATACCACATGCTGTTATGGCGTCAGGTCAAATTAAGGGGCTGACCATTTAACTTTTGAGGGAGGTGATTTATTGCTGGCAGGGAATTTTTTTTCTGGGATCGTTATGTGCAAGATTTTTTTTCCTATCCCATCATCATTTACAATTTTCTTTTGCCACACTCTCTTTCGCAGCATTTTTTTTTCAATAGCTGATACTATTCAGATTCTTTAATTAGAGTTAACGTTGAGTTTTCTAGCTTCATGCATTGCTCTTAATAATACATATTGCTATGAGGTATAACATTTGGTTCAGGGCCTCTTTTAAGGATGTGTACTACTGGAAGGGACATATTTAGCGGGAAACCTGGAGAAGTTCCAATCGGCAAGTCTGTATCACTGCAGCATATATATGCATGGTTTAACTAATAAGTATACATCATATATAGGGCAGCAGATCAGGCTATAACTAAGATTTTGAGACAACCGAGTCGACCGCCGAAGGTGCGAGCCTCTAGAGGGGTCTGGGGGGCATTCCCCCCAGAAAATTGTGGGTTTCTTGAAGCTCAGATTAGCTATTTCCAGCATTTGGATGAGTTACGAGATGTTAACAAGAAATTAACCTTACACTAGTCCCTGAAAATCAAACCAGCTGATCTTCTGGGACTGGTCAAATTGATCCCTGAAACCATGCGGTTTTGCAACATTTTTTTTTCCACCAAATACTGGGGCAGGATATC